TTGTACAATTCCTCAAATTATTGCCAATTATATGAAGCAATTTCGCAACTTGTTCTTCTACTTTACTTTGAGGATTGTCTCTAAGAAACTGAGTTCTTTTAAGCATGCTAACTAGTGTGGCAAACACATATTTGCTCATGCGTAACTACCTACGAGAATCTGCATCTTCCAAAGTTGTTAACTGCTTAATTAGGACATATCTTTCATAATCTCCTTGTTCTGAAATTGACTTCCTTATATGATCACGACAATGAAGATTTTAGACAAGGCTAACAGCATATGAAGCATACATAGCTACACAAGTGGCTACCCACTTTCTATACTTTTCCCATTCCTCTTGATCATGAATCTACAATTTTTTAAAATAAAAAAATCATATCCGCTTGTTAATAATGTTTCCATGTTGCAATGATACATCAAAAAGTTCTTAGTCCAAAATTGAAATGATTCATAAAAAAGTTCATAGACTAGACAACACTCAAATGACAACCCATTTGGGTACAATGCTTCAAACATGTTTTCCCAATCAACTAATTTAAGGCGCAATAGAGTCTACCCCCTTTAATTTAAATAATACTAAAATAAATACTATGCTTGAAGTTAACATGTACCAAATAATAGGACTGTTTCCATCCTACACCACTTCTACTCTCCTACAAATTCATCTAAGATGATCTATACTCATATTACCCAAAACTAATTTAATCCAATGCAACAGACCATCCAAAAGCTTACGTTTCAAATAAACATTCAATCAAACATTTCACGAGAATGAAAGGGTTAATTTATAAAGCTTGAAATCATGAAAAAAAAAACACAAAACAAAAGAAAGTAAAATAAACCAAATAGGCACACATCTATAGACGATAACAAGCAAATTGTCTTAATAAACAAACATATAAACAAATAAAATAAAACAAACAAAAAATGTAAATCCAATTTAATCTCATGCAAAGTGAAAAGAAGATATTAAATCTCATGCAAAGTGAAAAGAAGATATTAAATCATCCAACTACTTAGAAAACAAACAGGGTTTCTGCAATTTCACTTCAAAGCAAAAATTGCAAAGCAGCTTGAACATAGATAAACAAATCCATGTATCTATAGTCTCTGATTCATAATAAAACATATATAGGTGCGTGTGTGTGTATGGAATTTTCAATATAGATCTGAGTTTGATGAGAGAAGAAGAGAAAACAAAAGAGGGGCACAAATACCTAATCGAAATTTTCGGGCAATGAATTATCAATTGAGTTCAATGATTGAAGATTACCAATTGAAGCAGATGATGATCCCCAATTGGAACGATTTGCTGAATGATGCTGCGAATTAGAGATTGCTACCAGAGTTAGATTTGCAATTTCACTTCGAAACAAATTGTAAAGTAGCTTGAACATAAATAAACAAATCCATGGAAATCAATATAAATCTGAGTTTGATAAGAATGTAAGAGAAAATGAAAGAGGAGCACAAATACCTGATCAAAAATTTCAGGCAATAAATCTTCAATGGAGTTCATTGATTGAAGATTACCGATTGAAGCAAATGATGATCCCTGATTGGAAGGGTTTGCTCAATGATACTGCGAATTAGAGTTTGTTACTGGAGTTAGATCTTCAAAACTTGTTAGTGATGGTTTTTTGAAGCTACTCATGAATGGTCTCCTGCGAGAAGCCATGAACACTGAAACTCTCTCTCCCTGATAAATTTTTTCTCTCAGTTTTCCTAGGTCTTTTCTCACAAATATAAAAAAGAATTGATGTTCCAAAAGGTTCTCCTATTTCTTAATTTATTTCTCACTCCCTTTCTTTTCCCATATATTTTTTATTATAACCAAACAAAAATGGGATTACATTTCCCTTTCTCTTTTCAAATCCCTCCTCAAATAATCCTCCAATCAAACACAGCCTTAGTCTTCCAAATACACCAACATATAGAAAAAAAAGAAAACAACAGAGCAGGTACAAAGCCAAACAAGAAACAAATCTGAAAAAACACAGAAACCAAACTGTAGACGCGCCCGCGAGAGGCCTTCGTGCTACAGTTCAGACTCAATTTGTGTCACAGTTCTTAATCTGAACCAAAGAGTCCAAATCCGGCAAATCGTTTTGAGAAACAGATTTTTTTTTGAAAAAGAAATGCCAAACATGGACTGCTTTACCAGATACAGAGTCGCCACCTAAATATTTTATTTTAGAAAATTTAGGAAACCCTGACTTGGTACCAAAGGCCACGTGTCCGTCATCACCAAAGTTGTCTCGGTTCGGGAGCTTGGGTACGATTGGGAAAGGTCAACTATGAGCACCCCCTCTCGCCCGATCCGAAGATCGGCCTCTACTAACCATGATATCCAATTTTGAAAACGTTATGTGTTCTTATTCCATTTATTAGCCTAGAATTATTATGTTATGCGCGCAGCAAACAAGTATAGACCAAATCGCCTAAATTGGAACAAAACATTGCATGTTCGTTTTGAAGATGGTTTGCTACTCGCAAGTAGGCTAAAATGCGGGTTTTGCCACCCTCGAGTAGGCTTTTAGAAAAGATGGTTTTGCCACTATCTAGTGGGCATAAAACTCACAGTTTTAATGCATTATCCCAATTTAGTTAATTCAACCTCCACCCACAGGCACTCAAGCAGTTATATCACATAAGCATCTAGCCTCATGGTAATCATACTATTATGGCAACACTCACACGCATGCAGTATGCTAAAGCATAAATGCTTACCTAGTACTCCGAGCCAAAACAAAAACTAGTTAGTAATCATATGCATGATCCTAGTTCATGTTAAGATGGCTAATGCAACACATGCAAAATGCAGCTAAGATAGGCTCGGGTAATCTACAATGACATGTGAAATGCTACAACTAACACGTATTCAATTTGGAATTGAAATACAAATGCAGTTAGAATGATGTGCCGAGCCCGACGCATGCAAGACAAATGTATGAATGCACGCATGCATAGCATAAGGTATGCTAATTTAAATATGCCCTAGTCTACCATCATAAGCGGGTAAATAAAAGGGAAGAAAGACGTGGGATTGGAAGACATACACACACCCACGCACACTTATTACACAATTGCCCTCACTCGGAGGGTCCAAATAAATATTACAATCTGAATAAATAATACTAAATTAATTATTACAGAATTTCTAATTAATTAACAAATTAAACGCAGAATTAAAGTGGCCACAGCCCCCGCCTCGAAATGCGTGGATGATGCATGCTTGACTCATCTTGCCCGAAAATCCGTACCATGCCACTGTTGCCACTGTTTACACTACCTTGCCCCTCTGAGGACTGCCAAAGTCCAAGGGCATGCTCTATGAATGTTGGGGAATGCCACCGACCAAGTAGGAACATCACCGGCCGAATAGTGTGGTCACCGACTACCTTTTTGTCTATCGGCCATAAATAAATAGCTGGCCGGCACTGTATTTTGCCGATCGGCTAAAACTTCCCGCAGAACCTGCAGTGGACAGCAACAGAGGGCAGGCAGTGTATGGCATGGAATTTCAAGCAAATGTAAACATGGTCACACTCCCTATCATGCCATGGACTCAAGGGGGGCATGACCCTCGACCCTCGGGCCATCAATTAGGCATGATGGCCTAAGAAGTCAAGCTTGCGGTTCAATGAAAATGCATGCAACACACAAATGAATACCAAGACCCCATCATGTTAGAGTCAAGGGCCTCGGTGACCGAGGGTTGAGAGATGTTGCATCACTTGAAGTATGAACACTTCTCACCCCTCAAGTTTGGCTTGACACCCCAAGCTAAACAATGCAATGCAAGTATACAAACATGGCTCAAGCATGCAAATGAAGCTAAGGCACAAATCATGCCAAATGTGCAACAAGTATATGAGATAGCTCAACATTAAGCAAACATGCAAGTAGGATGCAATGCAAGCATGCTTCTAATGCAATGTAACATGCTCATGCAAAGGCGGGTTTAGGCCACAAAGAGGGGGGCCTCAGCCCACCCCAAAAACAGTGGCCAAAGGTGCCAAGATAATGGTGCCAATCATGTAAGACAAACATGCCAATCAACGAGCCCAAGACTAAGGTACAAAAGCCAACTCAAGCATGCCTAAAGGAAGACGAACATGGACATTAGACCAACGAAAATCAGTGCCATAGCATGTGAGAATGAGCCTCAAAACCCACACACACGGCATCCCAAAGCCTCAAACACATGGCCATGCACAATGACCTATCCCGAGACATAGAAGGCCAACATTTCAAGGCATGAAAAAGCTGATAAATGTAGACATGTAAGCATGGTATAGGGACTGAAATGGCATGTTAAATGATTCCAAATTGTTAAAATAGCCTAACCAATGCATGCTAGGGACTCACACCCTTAAGGCTCACAAATCAAAATGCAAAGCAACTATATCAAACATGTCAAACATGACCAAATCAGTGATCAACAGACCTTAAGCATGATGAAACATGGCCAAGAACTTCACAAAGTAAAACCAAAATATGAAAGCATGGTGGTCAAATGTCATGATGCATTTCTAGGTAAAAATAAGGAAATACAAAGCAAGTATATTAAGCATGTAAGAGACCACTAATTCAACCAAAAACAGAGGCATATTATGACCTAACAACATACAAAAACCTCTGAAATGGAACCAAAAAACACCTAATCATGCATGCTACCCTTATGAGCCAAGAATATGCAAAAATGAGAGACCAAGGGAGAGGGGTATCCCTCCCTTATGCAAGACCTTAGAACCCCTTCCTCACCACTGAAAATCCATTGGATTTCAATGGTGAGAAGGCCAACACACCAAGGTAAACAAAGCTTGCCGAAAGAGCACAAAAAGAGGCCAAAAAGAGGCCTAAGAGGGGGAGGTCGACCCCAAACACCAAAACAACCTTAATGAAGAATCTTAAGCATGAAAATACAAGACTTTTTTCAGTTATACACAAAGATTAAATCAACATGCAAGACAGGTCAAAAGCCAATGCAAGATTGGTCCGAGTCAAGCTCGCCGAACCTTGCTGTTGAGAGGCGGCGTAATCGGAGTCGTCGGACAAATCGTGAAGCTCTGCTTCTTGCATCGCTGGTGAATTGGGGTGATGTAGAGAGAGAAAGTAAAACACACACAAGGGAGGAGAGAGAGGGAAATAGAGGATATATATATATATATATATATTAGAATATATGTATAAGCTCTGTGTCTTTTTTGTTTTTTGCTAACCTCCAACAATGGAAGAGGAGAGGTCCTTATATAGGCAAAGGAAATGGTTCTAAGCTTCTCAAAAAAGCTAAGTAAAAAGGGGCAAAGGGGGCAAGGAGGTCAAGGCTTCTTAAGGAAGCTAGGACAGCTGGCCAAGCTTCCTCAAGAAGCTTGACCAAAGGGTTCAACCTTCTAGAAGGAAAAGGGGTGCAAAGGCTCAAAACAGCCACTTCATGCACGGGGAGGAGTGTTGGTGCATTCCAGCTGGCTTAGCTAGCATGCACCAAGTCTGAAGGGTGCAAAAGGGTCACACCGGCCAACAAAAGAGGTCACCGGCCAAATAAAGTGCCGGCCGGCTATATAGAGTGTCGACCGGCCATTGGTATTAAGAAACCATGCCGGTGGAAGCAATTAATGGCCGGTGATGCAAAGGGAAGGCCGATGGGTTGTGGGGATGGCCAACAAGCCATTCCCTGCCCCTCAAAGCAAAAGCACAAGTATTTGGTGCAAAACCAAACGCAAGACGAACAAGTTGAGAGATCCTGAGGCAAGGCGCGCAGTCAAGGCCTCCGGGAACTCAAAACGAACACGAACATGGATGGTCACCGAGTGTTCCACCGGTGACGTCCAAGTCTTGAGGACGGTCAAAAATGAGGTGTCTACACAAACCAAAAACTAAACTAAACTAAACCAGACTCTCTCTCTCTCTCTCTCTCTCTCTCTCCTGAAAAAGAAAAAAAAATATCTCAAATATGAAAAAAGTTTTAAAAAAACAAAAAAAAAAGTCCGAAAAATAAGTTTTTTTTTTTTTTTTAAATCTACACATGATGCGAACTGTTGAGTTAGGCCACAGCGGACAATACTTTTAAGCAAGGTATATTATAAAATAATGATGGCATGTTTGTTTAGGAGGCGCCTTTTGGGCTTAGGGCTAGTTCGCTTGTCTTACAGTCTTAGCTTGGATAGGATGTTAATCTTCATTTTACAACCTATTGTGCAGGTATTGTCAGACTAAAGGAAATAGAAAAGTACTCCAATGTGAGAGATCATAAAGGGGTACTTCATTTGGTTCGCTGCCTTCGTGACCTCAAGGCCAAACAGATAAATAGCAATTTAAACTTTAAAGAACTTACATTTGTATAAGTTTCTAAACAAAATGTATACTTCAAACTGTTGTTCTTTTATGCAAGGTCGGTATACATGTCTGTCCATGGCTCAGGCACACTAGTTTAAAGATCATTTAGGAGTGATGACATGGAAACAACCACAAAAAATTAATGCTATTCTTGGCATTCTACATCAAATACCGATGATGTTCATAATGGACTTATAATGGTGCAGTTCGCTTCTTTCTTGAATCTTGAGGGCACTTTTTGGGCTTGGAATCCAAAGTGACAAGGTTGGGAGGCTCCTTGTTGAGTTGGGTCATAATAGACAATATTTTTCATATGGAAGTTGGTCACGCTCAATTACGTTGGTATCAAACCAAGTTTGTGTCTAGCGCGAGGATCAAATGGTGCATGACACCTCTATCTTTGAAGCATTTTTAGGCTTAGAACCCAAAAAGACAACATGTGAGGCCAATTGTTAAATTAGGTCATAGCTGACAACACTTTCAGATGTCTACATCAAGGGACAACGTATCCGTTGACATAGACACTACTATGTTAGAGACGTCTTTTGAACGTAAAATCCTAGAAAACAAATCCATAAAAAATGACTGTTGGACTGAATCATAACGAACAGTGCATTTTACCGTTAGAATAGGAAGGAATTGGAGAGATGATTGTGTATGCAATCAAATCCTTTATGTTGTAGAATATACCCACAAAGATCCTCCAACAAACCCATTTGTTTAAGTGAGCATGTGGCTGGCCTTACACATAAAAGTCACCATTATCCTTTCTCTAAAAGAGAACTAAATGAATGGTTTCCCTGAACCCTAATTTTACTTTGGTGGAATGTGATGAAATGTGGCTCTGTATTTGGTGGAATGTGATGAAATGTGGCCCTGCATTTGGTGGAATGTGATGAAATGTGGCCCTCTATTTCTATGATTGCAATTTGAGATGTTATTTCCTTTAGGTGCACATCCAGTCATCCATTTCAGTAACCAAAAATTGAGACATTTATTGAGTATTGAGTGACTCACTCTCCCTTTGCATATAATACAATATTTCTCAAAAGAACCAATGAGCCAACCTTATGTCAATGCATTTTTTATTATCTCTCTCCCAATTAAAAATTATATGCCATACTTGTATTATTGATTCCATAAACACCAAGTACTTGAATCCTTCTTGGTGGTTTCCATAGTGTACCAACACCAAACAAGCAGAGCCAATAAGAGAGAGCTAGTGACATATGACTATTAGATCACATTTTCTAGCAGACTGTGTGTAGAGATTTATAAAGAAAGAAATGCAATATGATTGGTCAGAAATATCAAAAGTTTTTAGCCAAGTTTGGGGACATATAGTTAGTTTTTTCGAAGGTAAAAAATGCTTTTCCAAGAAGCCCTATTAAATATTCTCACTATATACCACCACTCCATGTAACATTTTTTCTGAAATCTTTAAGGTATAACTAAGAGTGCAAGGTCTATCTATAAATAGAAGAGCTTGGCATTGTAGTTAGAGAACTTCAGAGGAAACCAAAGGTTGGTGCAAAACATGAGGTGTTCACTAGGTTATGATCTGATGAACATCATGAAGAGTAACAAACCTTTTATTGGGGTCCTACTTATCCAAATTATGTACGCGGGCAGGTCCTTGTTTGCAAAAGCAGTTATTTCTAAAGGAATGAACCCTTATGTGTTTGTTGCATATCGCCAAGCTTTTGCCACACTTTCCTTAGCTCCCTTCGCTTACTTCTTCGAAAGGTCACCCCCCAAACAATTTTCACTTTTGCAGCCTATGGCCATTAATTTTTTTTTTTTTTTTTTTTTTTTTCTGATTTGTTTTATGAATATGCAGTAATAAGTCAGCTTCCCTATCACTGAACTTACTTTGCAAGATCTTCTTTGTGTCTTTATGTGGGTATGTACGGACATGATCAACTGCTTGCTCCAATGTTGGACTAACTTTAAAGTGTTTAGCAAGTGAATTAATATAATAATAACACATAAATAATCATGAAACCCGTATATTATGCTTCGTTTGTTTCAGGATTACTCTGAGTTTAAATCTCGACTCTTTGTCGATGAATTACACCTCTGCAACTTTCGCTGTGGCCATCACCAATATAGTTCCTGCTTTTACCTTTATCATGGCTGTTTTCTTAAGGTACAAGAAATGAGAATCTATACGTCATCATCAAATTTTAACAAAAATCAACAATGTTATGGAGCCCCATAAATTTTCAGAAAATGAAGTGTGTCGACCAAATTCATTCTAGGTGTGGGCCATATCATACAAAGTTTGAATTTGCATCACAAGCTTTTTTACCCACTTTTCGGGCACTTTTCTAGCTCCCTAACTTTTTTGAAAGATGGGCCCTTTTTCTTTCCTTCACGAAATTAATAAAAGAATTTTGTGATTGGGCATTTCAGGATGGAAAGCATTTCCATAAAAAAAAGGCATGGATTAGCCAAGATTGTGGGTACTGTGATCAGTCTTTTGGGGGCATTGGCATTTGTTTTTCTTAAAGGACCTCCAATATATTCAGTTAGCCACAAGGAGAATTCAGTCCCATCATCTACAGAGTGCTATTCCAAAGGGGACTGGTTAAAAGGCTCACTTGCAGCAATCTCATCCAACATAGCATGGTCTTTGTGGATTATTATGCAGGTTCCTCTCCCTCTCTCTCTCTCCCTCTCTCTCTCTCTCTCTCACTCTCAATCAAATGGGTTGATCAGCTTTCTTTCAGTTCCTTACTGTTGGGTTTGTGGAGTGTCATTAGTATTGTACACTCGGGTCACAAAATCCAACCAAGGGTACTAAGGTTATTACAGTAATTTTTTATGTAAACCTAACACATATGTTGTTATCTACACAACTATCCACATTCAGCAGTAAACATAGATAATTAAGCTAACCCACATAAATCTGTTACGTGCTTTTTTCTATGTGATTGATTATTCTTACTATTATTTGTGTATGGTTTAGTCATCAAACACTATGTTGATGTGTTTCATTCAGGGTCCCATTGTGAAGGAATATCCAGCACTACTACGACTAACAACCCTACAAACCTTCTTTAGCAGCATACAGTCAGCAATTTGGGCAGTTGCTGCGGAGAGAAATCTATCCTCATGGAAGCTTGGATGGGATGTTAATCTCCTTTCCATCATCTATTGTGTAAGTTTCTTCCATCTTTTTTGCAATTGTATAAATAGAGGTAGTACCAGTACACGAGGCTCCCACCATTAATTGTAGTTTAATTGACCAAAATGGGTTCTAACATTTGAAATCGACTCCGTTTGATGAAAATGGGGCAGGGTTTAGTTTCAACTGGGATTACTTACTGGTTGCGGATTTGGATTATAGAGAAGAAAGGCCCTGTTTTTCTAGCAGTGTTCACTCCCTTAGCACTGGTCATTACTGCCATCTCATCAGCAATTCTGTGGAAAGAAACCCTTCATTGGGGAAGGTTTGTACCCCTTATCTGCCCTTAGTTAACTCTGTGTGTGTGTGCACACATGCATGCATACACGCCTTTGTAAATTTTAACATTATTGAGAGAGTCATTTTATCTTAATATTGTGGCAGCGCTTGCGGTGCTGTGCTGCTGATATGTGGCCTCTACGGATTCTTGTGGGCAAAACACGAGGAAGGAACAGCTGAGAAAAATGATGAAGGAAAAGCCGAGAAAGTTGAACAAAAATCGGACACCATAGTGGAAAATGCCTAATAGTGACTGATTGATTGCATGGTGGGATAGGGGTTGTTGCAAATGGCTTTGATAAAGACATTTCCCAATTTTAGGGGCATACAAAATATATATATATATATATATATATTTCTCACTAGGGTTTCTAATTGGAATTAAGAAGCTTGTAGGGTCCACCCTTAGCTACCCTTCATTTTGATTGGTTACTGAGAATTCAAGGAAAAAAGAAAAGAAAAAAGAAAAGAAAATGTCTTATATATATAATAATCACAGGCACATTTAAACAGATATCCATTGACATGCTAACACCCTCTTGTTGTTCACTTCTACTAATACATGCATATTCATTTCCTTGCTTCAATAAAACCCTGTTATTATGTCATTTTCACATATGACTATAATTGAGATAGACAAAAAGACAAAACAAAAAGAATGTCTAATTGATGGCACTGTTACTATTTTTTTTATTTTTTTTTTATTTTTTGGATGGAGAAACACAAGAACTTATTTAAATATAAAGAAAGATAAAATCATAAATTACACAATCATATGATAGAAGCACAAAGATAGGTATAGAGGAAGAGCTGAAAAAGTTACAAAAACAACAAAACAGAGCAATATTTCGATTTTGAAACAACTAAACAGAGCAAAACCACTTGTCTCTTCATTTCCTCCAATTAGCAACACAAGTTGAAGGCAGTTAGTGTGCATGTAAGCGACATTATACTAATGCATGAAAACTCGCAGAAAAGTTGAGTTTAATGTTATAGGAAAGACAACCTTCTAAAAAATATTGCCTCTAAACATCATGTAGCACATGAAATGACTCATATGGCCATCCAAGGTGGTTCTTCAATGTCATTCACTTCTTTAGTGGCCAACGCACCTCTGTGCACGTGCAATGCACGTCTTTTCCTTGCCTGAAGACCAATATCTAATGGTAGTTGTCACATGTACAGGCCAATTTTTTATTTAAAAAATAAGCACAACACAATTTTGGGAAAAATAACAGATGAGAAGAAGCTTTCAAGATTTACATTATCAGGTGGGGAGACATGACCTAGATTAAAGTAGATTCGTCTTTGACAGCATTGGCTTCCTTGATGGCAGCAAAGGATGTCATCATATCCAGCGTAGCCATTTTTCAACCACATAGCATGCCACCCAAATCCCTCAAGGTGCCTCTCAAGACTCAGTAAATGCAATTTCTGTGTAAGCCATCAATAGAATGCAATCAATTTGACAAATCCCCAGAACATCATTTGTGATTCCTTCCGTTTGACAGCCATCTGCAAGTAATACATACCAAAGAACACACTGGCACCATAAATTAGAGAAAGAAACATGGGGAATACCATGGAGAAAGAATGTACTGCTATGACTAGGTAAAAAAAATCCTAACAATCTACATTTAAGCAGACAACAGGACATAGAGAACAACATGCAAGAGATTTTACATGTAGTGATCAACCATCTCATTGCAAGGTTTGGTGTATGTTGCAGCCCAATGGTTAAGATTACACACGTTCTTGTGTTCATGTTGCTTGATAAACAAAGTGTCACGACCCAACCCAAGGGGTTAGGGCTAGAATTGTAACTCACTACTTTATTCTAATCGTGGCAAATTAAATGGCGTAGGCGGAGGCAAAAGGAAATAAAAATAATTAAACAGAAAATTTACTTTATTTTACTATATTAATAAGAGAAAATACATCTATAGGATTTTTATTATTTTATTATTTAGTGACCAGCCCTGAGTAAAAAAAAAGGAAACAAAAATTAAATAAATAAATAAACAAAAACAAAATAATGGTTCAATATCAAATTCTCGTGCGGGTTCCACTACGTGAGGTTATGGGTCTCCCTCGCATCTCGTAACCTGAAAGGGTAACAGCTATAAGCACACAGCAGAGTGAGAAATATTATGCCAAGAGTATAGAGAATACCAAATAACCATGGATAGTTATTTAAGCTAAAATAGTAACATACTTAATTTGAATAAAAAAATGATTTAAAGTGGCAAAAACTGAAACACATAAATTATGTAATTAAATAACCATAATCACGGTACAAAATAGAACAGAACAGAACAGAACAGAGGTCACTGGAGTGACAGTTAGAACATAGGTCAATGGATCCATGACAAAGAGAGGACCACAAAGTGGCAAAACAGAGGTCAATGATTATTTAAGTCCCCAAGGCGTGGGACTCCCGTGGTGGTACTTACAAAACATAATTATTTATAAGGTCATTGTCAAATACTTTATAAAATTTAAACAAACATATCTATGGGTTTCATTTTAAACAAATAGAATTCAGAAAATAACTCACGTAATTGAAATATTAATATAATTTATAAAACATAACTTGTATAAAATAAATTATGGTAAGTCAAAACATACATAAAATATATTATGGTGGCTCGAGGTATAATATAACCCACCTTAATATTAACTCTTAGAATTTATTTTCCACTATCACAACCCTTACTATAAGTTTCTTACCTCCAGTATCTTACGTGCTCTTTTTTCTTTTTCTTTTTTTCTTCCTCTTGTGATTCGCATTTCTCTTGCATAACTCTTCCCTATTTATAGGGAGGCAAATGTGCCCTCAGGCCAACACGTGGCCACAGCTTAAATCCCCCTAGATTTGATCATAAATCTCATAGATTGATGCTTATCTAATGAATATTTGTGATAATTATACTTTGGCCCAATTCTTTAACATAATTATATAAACCAACTAATTCCTAACTATATTACACTTTATCGCATACCAGCAGAAAATTAATTGTTTATTTTACTGTCACACCCACTATTATTATTAGTATTATTATTATTATCATGATTGGTTGTGGTATTAATTAAATATTTAGGGTGTCACATTTCTCTCCTCCTAAATAGAAGTTTGTCCCCAAACTTGACGTACCTTAAATGTCGAAGAGGTGTGGGTATTTGGCTTGCATTTGACTTTCTGTTTCCTACATAGCTTCTTCGATATGATGATTTTTCCATAAGACTTTTACTAGCGATATGGTCTTGTTTTGGAGAACTTGATCACGACAATCGAGAATCTGCACTGGTTGCTCTTCATAAGAGAGGTCCTCTTGGACTTCCAAGTTCTCATAGTCGACAACATGTTCTGGATCTCGGAGGTACCATCAGAGCATTGAAACGTGAAACACATTGTGAACATTGGAAAGTTCAGGCAGTAGTGCAAGGCGATATGCTACAAGACCAATCCTTTCTAATACCTTGAATGGTCCGATGTGATGTGGGTTTAACTTCCCTCGCTTTCCAAATCGGATAACTCCTCTTGTTGGTGAGATCTTGAGGAACACATGATCCCCTACTTGGAATTCCAACTCCCGTCTCCGTATATCTGCATAACTTTTTTGGCAACTCTGGGCAATGTGAATTCGCTGCTGGATAAGTTGGATTTTATCACTTGTGATTTGCACGATCTCGGGGCCTAGCAGTTTCTTGTCCCCGACATCTGTCCAGCATAGAGGTGATCGACATCTCCTTCCATACAGAGCTTCGTACAGCGTCATTCCAATGCTTGCCTGATAGCGATTGTTATAGGCGAATTCCACTAAAGGTAGGTGCTCATCCCAGTTACCTTTGAGGTCCAACACGCATATACGTAACATGTGTTCCAACGTTTGGATTGTTCTTTCAGATTGCCCATCAGTTTGTGGGTGATAAGTAGTGCTAAACTTCAGTGTAGTCCCAAAGCCTCCTGTAATTTGCTCCAGAAGTAAGACACAAAGCAGGGGTCTCGGTCAGACACGATTGAAACTAGGGTGCCGTGCAAACGAATAATTTCCTTGATGTATAAGGTGGCAAACTTATAAAGGAGTACATGATTTTGATTGGCAGAAAATGCACCGACTTCGTCAATCGGTCTACTATAACCCATATTACATCATTCTTCGAAAATGACTGTGGTAGCCCGACCACGAAGTCCATAGGGATGTGCTCCCATTTCCATTCAAGAATAGGGAGTGGTTGCAGCAGTCCTGCAGGTCTCTAATGTTCTACTTTAACACACTGACAATGCAGACATTTAAAGACATGGCTTGATATGTCTCTTTTCATTCCTGTCCACCAGTAGTGTTTCTTCAGATCCTGGTACATCTTTGTGTTGCTAGGGTGGACTGTAAATCTCGAGCTATAAGCTTCCACTAATATCTTCTTCTTGAGTTCCACAATGTCGGATACGCAAATTCGATTCCGAAATTTTAGTATTCCATTGCTTATAGTGAAATCAGGATCAGGCGTACTCCTTTGCTCCTCGTACTTTTTCTTCAAAAGTTTATCTTCCCATTGGCGCACTTTAATTTCTTCAATGAATGTAGGTTCCACGGTTATGTTAGCGAGCAGTCCATTGATCTTGCGGGAAACGAGAGTACATGCCAAACTTCTGGTCATCTTTCAGCTCAGTGCGTCTGCCACCACGTTAGCTTTGCCTGAATGGTGATGAATCTCTACATCATAGTCTTTTACAAAGTCTAGCCATCGTCATTGTCTCATATTCAGTTCCTTTTGTGTGAACAGATATTTAAGACTTTTGCGATCAGTGTAAATTTCGCAAATTACACAGTGGAGATAATGACGCAGATCTTGAAAGCAAAGATCACCGCAGCCAATTCCAGATCATGTGTTGGATAGTTCTTCTCATGAGTCTTTAGTTAGCGTAAGGCATAAGCAATGACTTTTCCATTTTGTATAAGAACGCAACCTAAACCATTGTATGAGGCATCACTATAAATTACGAACCCATCTGCTCCTGTAGGGAGTGCTAGTATAGGAGCTGACACAAGTCAACTTTTTAATTCTTAAAAGCAACGTTCCTGTTTATCAGTCCATTCAAATGGTGTGTTCTTCTGAGTTAGCTGGGTCAAAGGTGATGCTATCTTTGAGAAATCTTGCACGAAACGTCAATAATAGCCAGCTAGACCCAAGAAACTTTGAATTTCTAACATATTAGTAGGTTGTGACCAATCTACGATTGTTGCAACTTTTTAGGGGTCAACCGAGATGCCATCTTTGTTGATGATGTGACCGAGAAAGTGTACACTAGTGATCCAGAATTCGTATTTCTTTAACTTGGCATAAAGTTTGTAATCACGTAGTGTTTGTAGAACCGTTCGCAAGTGTTGCTCATGGAATTCCGGTGACTTGGAGTATATGAGGATGTCGTCAATGAAGACAATGACGAACTCATCAAGATAGAGTTTGAACACTTGGTTCATGAGGTCCATGAAGGTTGCTAGAGCATTTGTGACGCCAAAAGGTATGACAAGAAACTTGTAGTGCCTATAACGGGTTCTGAAGGCAGTTTTTTCGATGCTTTCCTTTTTGAATTTTAGTTGGTGATAGCCCGTTCACAAGTCAATTTTTTAGAATACTTGGGCACCTTGAAGTTGATCGAACAAGTCATTGATTCGTGGCAGAGGGTACCGATTCTTGATGGTGACCTTGTTCAACTCCCGGTAGTCGATGCATAACCTCATCATGCCATTCTTTTTCTTTACGAATAGTACTGGAGCTCCCCAGGGTGAGGTACTAGGTTGAATGAAACCTTTGTCCAGGAGTTCCTGGAGTTGAGTCTTCAGTTCTTTCAATTTCATCATTGACATGCGGTAAGAGGCTTTTGATACTGGTTGGGTACCAGGTTGAGTTTCAATAGTGAATTCAATTGCCCAGTCAACCGGGATACCAGGTAGATCTTCAGGAAAAACATCCAGGAATTCTCGTACTACGGGGATCGCATCAACGATGGGGGCCTCTTTTTGTGTATTAATCACATAACAAATATAACTACCACAACCCTTTCTTAGAAGTCGTTGGGCTGTTACAGAGGATATAATACAAGGAAGGTTGGAAACTCCAGTCCTATCAAAGACATGCTCGGGCTGGTTTGGTAACCTGAGGAAGACCTTTTTGGCTTTACAATCAATAGAGGCATGATTGGCAGCTAGCCAATGCATACCTAAGATCACATCAAAGTTTCCAATGCGGAGGGGAATCAAGTCTACGTATAAGGTTTTGCCTTTTAAGGATATAGTACAAGATTTGTATACATCAGCACTAAGGGCGGAATTACCAAAAGGAAAAGACACAAACAATATATATCCTAAGGGTTCAGGTATTAATGCCAGCTTGGCAGCAAAGTATGGTGCAACAAAAGAATGAGTTGACCCAGAGTCAATGAAGACATGAGCTAAATGACCACAGACAGAAAGCGTACCTAACACAACTTTTTCGGTAACTTCTGGTTTTCCAAGTACCAAGGCAAAAGCCCTTCCTTGGCGTTTTTGGTCCTTCCTCTCTCCTCCAAGTCCTACGGGTTTTCTGACTGGGCCAGAGAGGCTGGCTGTAGGATTAGTCATCATTGGACAGTCCCTCAGCAAGTGGCTCACTTGACCGCATTTAAAGCATGCTCCCGTGTCTCGATGGCATTATCCCCAATGAGCCTTTCCACAAGTAGGACAAATTGGAATAGTGCCACCTCAGGATTGGTAGGACCTTGATTTCCTGAACTAGTTGTGCCTGTATTCACCTTTTTGGGAGGCGCAACACTGGGTCTTCTGTTGTCTTTTTTTGAGAATCGCTTTTTATGGCTTGGTTCCCCGAAACACGAGGCTTTAATCCCTTTTCTGCAATGTACTCTCGATCTATCACTTCCGCATAGGTTGGTAGTTTCAAAACCTCAAGCCTATCTTTGATTTCAGCATCCAATCTTGCTTCAAACTTTCTTGCTTTTCGAGCTTCAGTGGGGATGACATATGTCGCAAACCGAGCAAGTTGTGTAAATTTGCTCTCGTATTCGGCCACCGTCATGGTTCCCTGCTTTAGATGTATGAATTTCGACGCCTTTTGTTCCCGCAATGAATCTGGAAAGTATTTTGCATAAAATACTTCTAAGAATCTTGCCCAAGTCACAATTTCTTCTTTCTCCAGAGTGAGAAGCCACCATTCCTATGCATTATCTTTGCAAGTGAAAGTGGCGAAAGTTACCTTCTGTCTTTCAGCGAAGGGTAAAGCGCGAAAAACCTTTTCCATGACTTTAACCCAAGCGTCTGCTACCATTGCGTCTAGACCACTTGTAAATGTGATGGGTTTCAGATCCTGGAACTGTTTAATGGTAACCGGCTCTTCTCGTCATTCCGACATCCCATTGTTGATGTTAGTCTACAAGGCTTGCAAAAGCTAGTAACCGCTATTTCCATGATTCTTTCCATCGATTCAATGCCACTGACTGATGATTCACTTCCGTTACCATTATTGGTCATTCTGCAAAGTAATAAACGAAGCATTACATCCATAACGCAGCATATATATAAGCATGTATAGTGCAATATATATCTATATAAAATACCAACTTTACTATTTTTACAATTAATATTACATTCTTGTTTCAAAAGTCAGAATATGTTAGTGTCTCATCCTTGTGGTACAACAAAACAAAAAACAAAAAAGACAATAAAAAGGGATTAGAACACATCATGGTTAGCGTACAAAAAAGTTTTCTTCTACCAAATCTAGAGTGGTGGGTCAAACAGGCCAAACAATCATGGGAAATAGTGTAGCATAAAAAGCTCAAATTCCCATCCTAACTAGACCACGCCAAAACACATCCACGCTGCCTAGACTTTGAAAATGGGGACAGACAGTATGCATCCCAAAAATGCTCGATCAACAATCCAGCCGAGTGTCTCGATATATGATAGGTCATTACTAAAGTCAACATTTTGAATATTAATAATCTCCAGCAGGTTAGGGACAGTGGTAAAAATGTAGTCCTCGGGGTACACGTTTCCCCTTCTTGCCAAAAATCTAGGGGTAAAGGGCCTATGATGTAGTGCGGGCGGCCATATCCCGAAGCAATGCCGAGGACACGAGTGGGTTCGAGAAAGTGTCTGCGCGTATGGGCACAGTTCTGTCTCCATAGTAAGTATGGGACATCAGTGGGATTAGTCTGTGTATAGATTGGCCGACCCATCAATTGGGCAAGGCCTGGATGTTGTCTTCTAATTATATCCTCTGAATCTCCCCATCCTTCAGGTGAGGCAGGGGCGGGGTGCTCTGCTAAAATCTCATCCAAATTAATGGCCCCAAGCTCATCCCAAAATACCTCATTAAGGTTAATCTCGGACATTCCTACATTACCATAATAAACGTGAGATTTTACATAAAAGGACTAACGTCGCAGGTAAATATTTATTTTTTATTTTATTTTTATTATGTTTATCTAGCTATATAGTTTTATTTATAGATTTATTTATAATTTTTTGAACTTTCTGATCAAATTAAAATAGCTTTTTTATTTTTTGAACCATTGCTCTGATATCACCTTTGTCACGATCCAACCCTAGGGACTTAGGGCTGTAATTGTAACTAACTACTTTATTATAATCGTGGCAAATTAAATGGTGCAGGCAGAGGCAAAAGGAAATAAAAATAATTAAACAGAAAATTTACTTCATTTTACTATATTAATAAGAGAAACTATATCTATAGGGCTTGTATTATTTTATTATTCAGTGACCGACCCTGAGTAAAAACGAAAGGAAACAAAAATAAAATAAATAAATAAATAAAAGAAAAACAAAATAATGGTTCAATATCAAATTCTCGTGCGGGTTCCACTACGCGAGGTTACGGGTCTTCCTCACATCTCGTCACCTGAAAGGGTAACAACTATAAGCACACAGCAGAGTGAGAAATACTATGCCAAGAGTATAGGGAATACCAAATAACCATGGATAGTTATTTAAGCTAAAATAGTAACAGAACTTAATTTGAATAAACAAATGATTTAAAGTGACAGAAACTGAAACACAGAAATTATGTAATTAAATAACCATAATCACAGTACAGAACAGAACAGAGGTCATTGGAGTGACAGTCAGAACAGAGGTCGATGGATCCATGACAAATAGAGGACCACAAAGTGGCCAAACAGAGGCCAATGGCTATTTAGGTCCCCCAAGGCGTGGGACTCCCGTGGTGGTACTTACAAAACATAATTATTTATAAGGTTATTGTCAAATACTCTTTAAAATTTAAACAAACATATCCATGGGTTTCATTTTAAACAAATAGAGTTCAGAAAATAACTCACGTAATTGAAATATTAATATAATTTATAAAACATTATGTTAAATAAATTATGGTAAGTCAAAATATACGTAAAATATATTATGGTGACTCAAGCTATAATATAAATCACTTTAATATTAACCTGTAGCCTTTACTTTCCACTATCACAACCCTTCTTACTATAAGTTTCCTACCTCCAGTATCTTACGTGCTTTTTTTTTTTCTTCCTCTTATGTTTCGCACTTCTCTTGCACAACTCCTCCCTATTTATAGGGAGGCAAATGTGCCCTCAGGCCAACACGTGGCCACAGCTTAAATCCCCCTAGATTTGATCATAAATCTCATAGATTGATGCTTATCTAATGAATATTTGTGATAATTATACTTTGGCCCAGTTCTTTAACGTAATTATATAAACCAACTAATCCCTAATTAAATTACACTTTATCGCATACCAACAGAAAATTAATTATTTATTTTACTATCACACCCACTATTATTATTATTATTATTATTATCATAATTGGTTGTGGTATTAATTAAATATTTAGGGTGTTACATTTGCATAAGGATCCTCTAGAGTAAATCCCTGCAGTGATCTCCTAAAGTATTTAATCCAACGGCTGAAAATAAAACTCACCAAAACGACGTCGTTTTGGTGAGTAGTTTGAAAAAAAAAATTCAGTTAGTTCAAAACATCAAAGGTTCCTACAAATGCAAATATGAAGCATTAGAGAGAGAGAGAGAGAGAGAGAGAGAGAGAAGGGCTGAGAGTTTCCCACCCCCGACACCTTGGTTGTAGAAACACAAGTCCTCATCCAGCCTATCCATTTCTCACCAAAACCAAAGTTGTTCAACATCGACCACAGAAACTCCTAATTAATTGAGTCATAAGCTTTTTCGAAGTCTAATTTTAGGATAACACCTTTCTTTCTTGATCTTTTCCATGCATCTACAACTTCATTGGCTATTAACACACCATCTAAAATGTACCTTCCACTCACAAAAGCAGACTGTACTTCACTAATCACCGATGGCAGAACTCTCTTCAGTCTTCTGGATAGCACCTTTGCCAAAATTTTATAGACCGAGCTAACCAGGCTTATAGGTCTATAATCCCCCAATCCTACTGGATTATCCTTCTTCGGAATCAGTGTAATGAAAGAACTATTGATCCCTCCAGACAATTTACCATTTTGGTAAAATTCATTCACCACTTGTAATATCTCCCCTTTCAATATAGACCAGCACTGTTGAATGCACTTCAGATTAAAACCATCTGGGCCTGGCGCTTTGTTCCCATCACAATCTTTTACTGCGTTCCATACCTCCTCTTCTGAGAACTCGCTTTCCAATTTGCCGACCTCCACAACACTAATAACTGCAAAAGGGCCTAGGATTTTGGGTCTTACCACCCAATCCTCAGAGTACAACACACGGAAATGCCTAGCTACTTCTTGTTTCACCTGCACTATGTAACGTGGGTTTAACTTTCCTCATTTTCTAAATCGAATGATCCCTCTTATGGGCGAGATCTTTAGAAACACATGATCTCCTATTTGAAATTCTAAGTCCCGTCTTCATGTATTAGGATAGCTTTTCTAGCGGCTCTGAGCAGTGCGAATTTGTTGTTGGATGAGTTGAATTTTATCACTTGTAATTTGCATGATTTTGGATCCTAATAGTTTTCTATCTCCGACTTCCGTCCAACACAGAGGTGATCGACATCGTCTTCCATACAGTGCCTTGTATGGTGCCATTCCGATGCTTGCATGATAGTTATTATTATAGGCAAATTCCACCAACGGTAGGTGATCGTTCCAATTACCCTTGAGGTCTAGCACACACACATGTAACATATCTTATAAAGTATGGATTGTTCTTTCGGATTGCCCATCAGTTTGTGGGGGATAAGCAGTGCTAAACTTCAGTGTGGTTCCCAAAGCTTCTTGCAATTTGTTGAAGAAGTGAGACACGAAACGGGGGTCTTGGTCAGACACGATTGACACTGGGATACCATGTAATTGAATGACTTCCTTGATGTATAAAGTGGCAAACTTATTAAAGGAGTACATGATTTTGATTGGCAGAAAATGCGCCGACTTCGTCAATCGGTCTACTATAACCCATATTACATCATTCTTCGAAAATGACTGTGGTAGCCTGACCACGAAATCCATAGTGATGTGCTCCCATTTCCATTCAAGAATAGGGAGTGGTTGCAGTAGTCCTACAGGTCTCTAATGTTCTACTTTAACACACTGACAATGCAGACATTTAGAGACATGGCTTGATATGTCTCTTTTCATTCCTGTCCACCAGTAGTGTTTCTTCAGATCCTGGTACATCTTTGTGTTGCTAGGGTGGACTGTAAATCTCGAGCTATAAGCTTCCACTAATATCTTCTTCTTGAGTTCCACAATGTCGGATACGCAAATTCGATTCCGAAATTTTAGTATTCCATTGCTTATAGTGAAATCAGGATCAGGCGTACTCCTTTGCTCCTCGTACTTTTTCTTCAAAAGTTTATCTTCCCATTGGCGCACTTTAATTTCTTCAATGAATGTAGGTTCCACGGTTATGTTAGCGAGCAGTCCATTGATCTTGCGGGAAACGAGAGTACATGCCAAACTTCTGGTCATCTTTCAGCTCAGTGCGTCTGCCACCACGTTAGCTTTGCCTGAATGGTGATGAATCTCTACATCATAGTCTTTTACAAAGTCTAGCCATCGTCATTGTCTCATATTCAGTTCCTTTTGTGTGAACAGATATTTAAGACTTTTGCGATCAGTGTAAATTTCGCAAGTTGCACCGTAGAGATAATGACGTAGATCTTGAAAGCAAAGATCACCGCAACCAATTCCAGATCATGTGTTGGATAGTTCTTCTCATGAGTCTTTAGTTGGCGTAAGGCATAAGCAATGACTTTTCCATTTTGCATAAGAACGTAACCTAAACCATTGTATAAGGCATCACTATAAATTACGAACCCATCTGCTCCTGTAGGGAGTGCTAGTATAGGAGCTGACACAAGTCAACTTTTTAATTCTTAAAAGCAACGTTCCTGTTTATCAGTCCATTCAAATGGTGTGTTCTTCTGAGTTAGCTGGGTCAAAGGTGATGCTATCTTTGAGAAATCTTGCACGAAACGTCAATAATAGCCAGCTAGACCCAAGAAACTTTGAATTTCTAACATATTAGTAGGTTGTGACCAATCTACGATTGTTGCAACTTTTTAGGGGTCAACCGAGATGCCATCTTTGTTGATGATGTGACCGAGAAAGTGTACACTAGTGATCCAGAATTCGTATTTCTTTAACTTGGCATAAAGTTTGTAATCACGTAGTGTTTGTAGAACCGTTCGCAAGTGTTGCTCATGGAATTCCGGTGACTTGGAGTATATGAGGATGTCGTCAATGAAGACAATGAAGACAATGACGAACTCATCGAGATAGAGTTTGAACACTTGGTTCATGAGGTCCATGAAGGCTGCTAGAGCATTTGTGACGCCAAAAGGCATGACAACAAACTCGTAGTGCCTATAACGGGTTCTGAAGGCAGTTTTTTCGATGCTTTCCTTTTTGACTTTTAGTTGGTGATAGCCCATTCACAAGTCGATTTTTTAGAATACTTGGGCGCCTTGAAGTTGATTGAACAAGTCATTGATTCGTGGCAGAGGGTACCGATTATTGATGGTGACCTTGTTCAACTCCCGGTAGTCGATGCATAACCTCATCATGCCATTCTTTTTCTTTACGAACAGTACTGGAGCTCCCCAGGATAAGGCACTAGGTCGAATGAAACCTTTGTCCAGAAGTTCCTGGAGTTGAGTCTTCAGTTCTTTCAATTTCATCATTGACATGCGGTAAGAGGCTTTTGATACTGGTTGGGTACCAGGTTGAGTTTCAATAGTGAATTCAATTGCCCAGTCAACCGGGATACCAGGTAGATCTTCAGGAAAAACATCCAGGAATTCTCGTACTACGGGGATCGCATCAACGATGGGGGCCTCTTTTTGTGTATTAATCACATAACAAATATAACTACCACAACCCTTTCTTAGAAGTCGTTGGGCTATTATAAAGGATATAATACAGGGAAGGTTAGAAACTCCAGTCCTATCAAAGACATGCTCGGGTTGGTTTGGTAACCTGAGGAAGACCTTTTTGGCTTTACAATCAATAGAGGCATGGTTGGCAGCTAGCCAATGCATACCTAAGATCACATCAAAGTTTTCAATGCGGAGGAGAATCAAGTCTACGTATAAGGTTTTGCCTTTTAAGGATATAGCACAAGATTTGTATACATCAGCACTAAGGGCGGAATTACCAAAAGGAAAAGACACAGACAATATATATCCTAAGGGTTCGGGTATTAATGCCAGCTTGGCAGCAAAATATGTGCAACAAAAGAATGAGTTGACCCAGAGTCAATGAAGACATGAGCTAAATGACCACAGACAAAAAGCGTACCTAACACAACTTTTTCGGTAACTTCTGGTTTTTCAAGTACCAAGGCAAAAGCCCTTCCTTGGCGTTTTTGGTCCTTCCTCTCTCCTCCAAGTCCTACGGGTTTTCTGACTGGGCCAGAGAGGCTGGCTGTAGGATTAGTCATCATTGGACAGTCCCTCAGCAAGTGGCCCACTTGACCGCATTTAAAGCATGCTCCCGTGTCTCAATGGCATTATCCCCAATGAGCCTTTCCACAAGTAGGACAAATTGGAATAGTGCCACCTCAGGATTGGTAGGACCTTGATTTCCTGAACTAGTTGTGCCTGTATTCACCTTTTTGGGAGGCGCAACACTAGGTCTTCTGTTGTCTCTTTTTGAGAATCGCTTTTTATGGCTTGGTTCCCCGAAACACGAGGCTTTAATCCCTTTTTCTGTAATGTACTCCCGATCTACCACTTCCGCATAGGTTGGTAGTTTCAAAACCTTAAGCCTATATTTGATTTCAACATTCAATCCCGCTTCAAACTTTCTTGATTTTCGAGCTTCAGTGGGGATGACATATATCGCAAACCGAGCAAGTTGTGTAAATTTGCTCTCGTATTCGGCCACCGTCATTGTTCCCTGCTTTAGATGTATGAATTTCGACGCCTTTTGTTCCCGCAACAAATCTGGAAAGTATTTTGCATAAAATACTTCCAAGAATCTTGCCCAAGTCACAATTTCTTCTTTCTCCAAAGTGAGAAGCCACCATTCCTATGCATTATCTTTGAAAGTGAAAGTGGCGAAAGTTACCTTCTGTCTTTCAGTGCAGGGTAAAGCACGAAAAACCTTTTCCATGACTTTAACCCAAGCGTCCGCTACCATTGGGTCTGGACCGCTTGTAAATGTGGTGGGTTTCAGATCCTGGAACTGTTTAATGGTAACCGGCTCTTCTCGTCATTCCAGTATCCCATTATTGATGTTAGTCTACAAGGCTTGCAAAAGCTAGTAACCGCTATTTCCATGATTCTTTCCATCGATTCAATGCCACTGACTGATGATTCACTTCCGTTACCATTATTGGTCATTCTGCAAAGTAATAAACGAAGCATTACATCCATAACGCAGCATATATATAAGCATGTATAGTGCAATATATATCTATATAAAATACCAACTTTACTATTTTTACAATTAATATTACATCCTTGTTTCAAAAGTCAGAATATGTTAGTATCTCATCCCTGTGGTACAACAAAACAAAAAACAAAAAAGACAATAAAAAGGGATTAGAACACATCATGATTAGCGTACAAAAAAGTTTTCTACCAAATCTAGAGTGGTGG